CCAAAAATATGATTAAGCCCTGGAATCAATCTCTATCCCCTTTTTAATTCGAAAGAGCCTCTTAATTTAGCTTTATTTCTTGTCGCATTTTGATTTCAAAAATTCAATCTCATACATTCGCATTTAATTTATTTATTTTAAATTGCTGAAATTAATGAACACTTAATTCCCTTTTTCTGTTCTTGTGGAAACAATACTCGTACTTTAGCCCTATATTGTTGCTATATCTATGTTAAGTGCAAGAAATCTCACATCAAGGTCAAATACAGATAAAATGATGAGATTGATCAATCTTTTAAAGTAAACATGTACTCATATGATACTTGTTTAATATAGAGTTTAAGTGAAGGGTTGGAAAAAATAAAAGGGCATATGTTTGACCTTTTTCCCTTGAAAAATCAATAGGTTAACATAATATTTCATATTCCAATTAACTTGCATTCGTTTCCAGAATAATTGTATTTATGAAGATATAGACAAAGCTATCCACAGCTTTCTTAAACCTCTAAAAACCTTCATCGAAACGGACCATAAGAGTTTAGATCTCAAATGCTAAAAAAAACATATATTGCCCAAGCCCCGCTGGGATACTACTCACCAAGTAACGTCTCTTATACATGAGATTTTGCTGAACCAGCTTCAGTATTATTGCAACGGCCAATGGTGTTTCAGATTTTGCAGCAGTAGTCTGACTTGACTGACTGCCATTCTCAAGCATTTTTATCGATACCTTCAAGAGCTGCCCAGAGTTTAGGATCTGCATAATCTTTGATCAGAAATGCAGGCTTTGTTTCCATCAGTAAGTGGGCAGGGTTTTGGGTGGTCAAGCCAATAACTGGAATCCCGGCAGCAACACCAGCTTTTATCCCAGAAACAGAATCCTAAAACACATAAAGAGTAATAAAGTTCTCAGCAATTCGGAAGACTAGAAACTGCATGGCAAAATCAGACTCCTAGAATTTCGAATTCAGTGTGGGCAGGAAAAACCATTGATCCAAATGAGCTTTCAAAGTTCACACTAAAAACGGTATTCGTGAAGAGATTGTCACACACCAGCTAAATATAAAATCATAAACAAACATACGGAGTATCAGATATCGGGCTACAGGCTACTAATGTGATTTGGCTCAACGAAATATGAAAAATGCACTCTATCGAGATTCGAGACAAGATGTCGGACATGACGCTATGTGACCCTTATAAAAAACAGCATGGCAAGATGATCAAACCAAATTTTATTATTTACTGAACTCCAGTGGGCAGGGTCTGGTTGCCCACCACAGGCTACACTAATGAGAAACTGAACAAACCTCAAAGATGATGGTGTGATCCTTGGAAACCTTAAGCAATTCAAGGGCCTTCAAGTATGGGTCAGGAAATGGTTTGGCATGCTCACACTCACTGCCGACAATAACAGCCTCAAAGAAGTCTGCAAGGCCTAGAATTTGAATCATCAATTCAGCATTTGGCCTTGGTGCATTAGTAACTGCAGCACGTTTCAAACCATGATCTTCAATCCACTTCTTCAACTTGTATAAGCCATCAATAGGCTTCAGATTTTCCTTCGCCAATCTGTACTATGAAGCCAATCAATTATGAGGTGGGAGTTGGGCATAGAGAAAAAGTCTGAAAGGGTATGTTGGATCCCAGAAAATGCAAACAAAATTTTAAACACATTATGATACAAAGAAGGTTTGAATTTCTTAGTCTTTCTATGATACAAATAAATAATAGGAGTTTGAACAAATATCTAAAAGCAATATATTCAGTTTGAGTCTGCCTTTGTATTCCCCCCCCCCCCCCCGAAATTCTCTTCCAGTTATCTTTATTTTCTTTCCGACTCTATTCCCCTGTATTTTGCGTGTTCTAAACGGGCCAAAGGGTGAATCTAGAAAAAAGTAGTGACGTATGGGACTGCCTCACAATGAGATGGAACCAAAATTTAATATTTTAAATTTTGAAAGCAATTAATTAAAAAAAAAAACAATTTTTTTGGAAAAGTATTAGTTTACACTTTTAAATGAATACATTTTAGTCTGCCGGAAGCCTGGATTTTAAACTATTACATTTTGGATAAATTCAATTATATGGAAATTTCCTTAGCATTTGGTCAACTTTGATTACCTTCTGAATAGAGCTTCTTTGTCCTCACAAAATTTCACTCCCCTTGGATGATCATCAGGGAAAAGGAAAGAAGCGATGTCCTCATTATGTTTGCCAGCAATGTTTTTGACAAAAAAATCCTCATCAATTGGAACACCACCATTGTAGCCTATCTGCATTAGGCCCCCCAAAAGTCAGATATCAAAATTCATGAAACATTGTACTGCAAGTCGGCTGTAAATTGGGAGAAATGAATATCTTATTAATTTATACCAGCCTCTTTAGTATAAAATGAACAGATAATACATACCTCCTGAAGCATTTCACGAAAGGCAAGAAGGTGGATTGGATCAGAGTCGCATAAAGTTCCATCAATGTCAAACAGTACTGCTTCAAGTGGAACCAGTTGAGCAAGACAAGAAACACTGCCAATGAAGAATGCAGTGTTGGTTAGATGTTAATTTTCTTTTACCTCTCCAATAGTAATAATAGTCTTATGAAACAAGAATTTTCTGCTTATATTCTATCACAGTTTTATATGAGTTTGTTTTCATTTTACACATCATTATATCTTGTTAAAACATTTTTCTGTTTAGCTACGTATTCTTAATCTCTAGCACACATATTTAATTATACACTACTTGAGATAAAAACCACCCATACTTTTACAACGAACAGCCTCAATTCCAAATATAATAGGGAAAGGTCAAAATGATTTTTGAACAAAAAATAAAGAAATTTTCAAAAGAAACTACATCAATGTCTACCTTAAGGCAGTAAGGCACTGTATATTATACGCACCATCTACATTTCCACATTAACTATACGCATCAAGTTCTCAAGAACATCAATACAATAATGTATTAGTGAATCACAAAAATGTCCAAACAAGGACACAGCCTTTGCACTCAAGAAGCGTCGAATCGCATAGATGAAATTACAAATAGTAAAAGGGAATAATGAAAAACAGGAATTAAAATATAAGGAAAGAGCGTCCTCAGATATAACTTTGATTGGAATAACACATATACGTGCAAAATCAAAGAGAAAAACTGGAAAGAAGGACTATTTTCATCACCTGTCCATGGAGTTCCTGTAAATGTCGCAGTTAAATCGAAGATTGTGTGTATGAAATTTGATCTTTTTGAGAAAATGAGGAATCAGGTGTAGAGAGCGTCGGTCATATGAAGAGCAATGAAAGCCACGAATATGAAGTGCAGACGCAGAGAATCTTCAAAAGCATCATACTCCCTCCGTTTCTTTCTAATTATTAGTACAAAAAGAAATGTTTACTTTTAAGTTTAAAAAAAAAAAACTTTTAACATTTAATACATTTATTCCTATATTAATAAAAAATTGGAAAAAGATTCAAATACATTCTTATACTATATCAAAATACATCCGTCCAACCCTTCTACTAAAAAAACATTAAATAAATACATTTACTATTAAAGGGAGCGATTCCGGTAAGAACAGATCTTAGGAGAAAAATGAGAACGAATTTGGACCGTTTGATTGTATTATGTGGAACCAAATTATGCATTTGGTGAAACTGAAATGTGCATTAAATGATATTGAAATGTGCAAAATAAAAATTTAAACTCAAGTGTGCATTAGATGAAACTGATATGTGCGAAAAAAAATACAAAAATAACATCGCATCGTACTTTTTATTCTGCACATGTGTAAAAATAACATCGCATCGTACTTTTTATTCTGCACATGTGTAAAAAAGTACCAAAATAACATCGCATCGTACTTTTTATTCGCATCGTATTATGTGTGTATAAATATGTAACTCTACGTGTAAAAATATGTAACTTTACTTAAAAAAATATGTAACTCGCGTTCAGACAGGTCAAATGCAACTCGTGTGTATAAATATGTAACTCGCGTGTATAAATATGTAACTTTACATGTAAAAATATGTAACTTTACGTGTAAATATATGTAACTCGCGTTCAGGCAAGTCAAATGCAACTCGTGTGTATATATATGTAACTCGCGTGTAGAAATATATAACTTTACGTGTAAAAATATGTAACTTCACATATAAAAATATGTAACTCACATGTATAAATACCTAATATAATAAATTTTTTATATACACAATTTTAAGATAAATTGTGATTTACACAATTATTTTTCTGTATTAAATTTAGTTTGGTTTTGCTTATAACCCAATACACATTAATATAATAGTTCGATAATTTTTTAAATTTACATAAGCAATATTGGTCTCATTTGAAAGATCATGAAAAATAAAAAATGTTGATATAAATTTTATAAAAATCGGATCAAAAATAAAAAAGTTATTACCATTTTTTAATTTTTAAAAACAAAAGGATAAAAATAAAGAAACCAGGTCTCAATATTCCGTCGTTTTGCAACCGGGCGCACCATCCTCATGGTGCGCCGGTTGCACGATATAATTTGTGAAAACCTACTATTATAAATCATCAATTAGATCAAGTTTTCGGCTGACAACTCCCTATAGCATGTAATTGGCTGATCTCACCGGTGGGCGTAGCTCAACTGATAGCGAGGGAGTGTCATAAGGATTAGGTTCCGGGTTTGAATCCCGGCCTCTGCAAGTATCGGGGACAGAGCTTTGCTCTCTAATTGTGATTATAGTCCAATTTACATTCTCACATCATGCCGTCCGGTCGGTGTTGGGGGACCCTCAGGGATGAGGTGTCATCCTTTTATTGGAAAATTTTACGGTGCATCTACATTATGGGATGTACCGGTGCATTCAACAGTTGGAACTCTTTTATTGGTAAGTTCATCCACGTCACTGCCTTTTATTAAAAAATTATCCCAAAATTATTTTATTGCAAGTTAGTCCTTCAGCCCAGCCCCAGTTTCATCGTTTGTGTTATCCGATAGAACGAAAGAAGGTAGAGACGGGCGAGAGACGGGCGAGAGACAGCCGTGCAGGGCGAAGCCGCGAAGGCTGGGTGATACGCCAAGCAGCGTCGGATAAGGAGGAAGAGACAGTCAAGTTGCGTCGGCGAAGGCAGGGAGAGTCGAACCACCCGTTCAAGCCGCGCCTAGGAAGCGAAGGCAGCCAGAAAGGAACAGTTCAAGCGTCTGTGAGACGAAGAAACCAGGGAAACCAGGGCTAGAGAAACAAAAGTCCAACATCTTCATCTCTAATTTCATGGCAGCGACTCAATAAGAGGTAGGTGTATCGAACTCGATGTTATAGTTGTTATCCCTAATTTTGATTTGCATTTTAATTGTGAATTAGTTTGTGTAAATTTGCATTTTTCCATGTGTCATGTAGATTTCCGTGTATTGTATCTTTTGTGGTTAACAACGGTAGATGATCTATTCTTCTGCCACTGGATTGCATCCCTCCAAATCTCCTTACCTTAAGAAATTGCTCTTCTTACTGATGTTTTCCTCATTGGATCATCTATATTTGTCTATTGGTATTCCTTATTACTTGTGTCATTTGGGGATGTGATCGGGGTTGAGTGATTGTGAAGGACCAGTGTATACAAATTCACTACTTGTCTACTTCAACTTCTTCTATAGATTGCAGTTGTTGTTCATGATCATCTGAACTATATCTTTCACTAGGCTCACTAATTCACTATTGTTAATTGTTGGCTATGAACATTTTTTTTGCTGGGTAAATGTTCCATGGGGAAAGCGCCATGCCATCCATTGAATTCAGATGTGATAAAAACCCTTCTTTCTCGAATCTTATACCTTATTCTCTGAAGTTGAAATTAAGACTACAAGTAATGAAAAGTGAAAACTGCAGTTTCAGGGAGATCCCTTTTTTTTTATTCCAGATTTTTATGTTTTTTTTTTTCAGATTTTGAGGGCTTTTTAATTTGCATGTCATACAAACCTCAAAATCTGAAACTGGAATAAAACAATGCAGTTGGCTATATCATCTGAACTATGATATTGTTAGTATATACAACAATGCATTTTTTCATTTTCTTACTCTGATTAAATAGCTAATTTAGGGGTTCAGAGGTCTAAATGATTGGACATCATATGGCTATGATTTACAAAGAAGAAAAAATTAGAAATGTTTGCTCAGAGAAACCTTATTTTTTTTTAAACGGGATGTGTAAATTTGAATGGCAGATAATGGAATCTCTATAGACTCAACAGCACATAATACCATTATATATATATATTTATATATATATCAAATCCAGTATCAAAACCAGGTGTTCAAATGTGTACAAAGGTGAAACCAAATAGGATTCTTAAATATTAAGACTATTTACAGGTGATCAAAATCAGGTATATGTAGTAAATGCCAAATTCATGCTAAGAGAGTAAATTTATTTACTAAGATTCTTAGTTGATAAAAATTAAGACTCTGGTTTCAATCTACTAACAAATTTTGGTCAATCAAAATATTCTACATTTGAAGTATTATAAGAGATTAAAATTAACATGGAGCTAAGAAAGGTCATAGTAGAACATGGGGTGATTTCCAGGTATAAAGATTAAGATGTTTTATGCCAATGAGAATTATTATCAAATCTAATATCAAAACTAGTTTTCTAGATATAAGAATTCCAAACCAAGTAAAATATCATAGTTCTATTGACAACAAGAAATACAACCATTTATTATGTACCGCAGCTACAAAACCTAAGGCTTGTTTTCTTCAAAAATATCATTAACAATGAGCTCTGTCTTCCATGGACACTTCAACTCCTGTTAAAAAAATCAGATATGAAATATTTCAAAAGAATATAGCAAGGACTATAAAGACGAACTACAAGTAATTGTGGGTTAGATAATCCAAACTAAAGAAGTGATAAACATTTTCAGGCATAACAAACTAAACGTTCGAACACATTTCCAGCATCTCTTTTCCCCCCCGACTGCTGGTGCTTTCTCTCTTAAAGAATTATTTAAGAGAGAAATGTCTAATCTAATACAGCATTTCATTAACATTTATCAAACACATTACAAGCATGAAACTTTAAAGACTCATAATAAGTAATAAAATGAAAATCGAAGAAAGAAGCGAAGGAGAAGCTACTCATGACAGCCTAATTCCTAGACAATTCTTAAATCAACACCATATGTTTCAGAAGTTCTAATTAATGCTACTCATGCTCTAAATTTGCCTTGAAGTTCACATTTGCTACTAAGAAAGAAGCAAAGGAGAAGCTTCTTAAAATCATTAAAGCTACTCATGCTATAATTTTGCCTTGAAATTCACATTTGCTACTAAGAAAGAAGCGAAGGAGAAGCTTCACAAATCACAACTGCTATCACAAATCACAAATTCGCCTTTTTTCTTATCACATGTCTGCCAATGGAATCAAGCTTGAGCTTAAACATTTTTTTATTCCAATCTATGGTAGCAGCTTTAGGATATGAAAGCAAGTGCAGGGGATATAAATGGAAGGAGTGCAATCTTGGTTTGATATAAGCTCTTAAGAAAGATATGCTACCAAAAGCCCAAAAAATACCAGCTCTCAATAATGACCCGTTAGTATTGAGAAAAAATGACTTTCAATCATTCAATTATGGTCTGTTTTGAAATTTAATCTTTCAATCCCCTTATAGCTGAAAGAATGTGATCCTTTAGTGGTTTCAATCGTTGTCATTTGTTGATTATATTAACCTAAGGAAATACCTCAAATCTGCACCAAATGAACTTGAGATGAGGAGAGAGCAAATAACAAAGTTAATAAACGCATGATAAAAAGTGAATTAGCATGCCAAAAAACTCATTTGAAGACAATACACATACAGTGAGGTTAGCATGCATCAATAAATTGTTTGTATGAAAAAAAGAACATTTTGAAATGGAAAACAAAAACAAAAAATCATAAACTAAGGAAGCACCCAAAATGTACACCAAAGTTCATCACAGCCGAGCTGGCGAGATAGTGCAAAAAACGTTATATTTTAAGTCAATCATGCTTCATGGCATTTGTGATGAAGGCTCTGGCCATTACTAGAAATGGATTCCCTGGCTTTGGAGGAAAATAAGGTCCAACTCTGAGTGTGCAAAAGGGTGGGGGAAGATATGATATCTATTTCAACACTTTCTACCTGGAGCATATTTTTACTGATGCATGCTAACCTCACTGTATGTGTATTTGAAGTCTAACTAATACGTACCTTTTTTTTCAGATTTGAAGTTTTTTTTTTTTTTCAAATTCAGGGGCTTTCTTTTTTAATTGTTAGTTTATACACTATAGATTTTTTTTGCACTGACTAAATAGCTATTTGTAGTGTAATACAACTGCATTTTTTTTCAGGCAAAGAAATTAGTCATGGAGTTTGTTTGCCTTAAATCTTCTATCCCTGGAAAATTTATTTAAGTTTTCTCTATATTTGCTAAATAAAAGTTAGTGTATTTCCTTATAGAATGTAAAAACCTTGACTAGTTATTCATGTGTTCCATCGGTAGTTATTTTTATAGTATAATATCACATGTGAAAAATGCATTTTCTTTCTTTCCTTTTTGGCTATGAATTGCGAACACTAAGACAAAGTAGTTAATCATTATTAGTTTTTCCAGTATAATGCTTACTGGCGATCAGATCCAGTGGTTTTTCAGTAGTTATTCTAATGTCTTTGTGGCAAAATGCAGATGGATGTTTCCCATTCTGATGATGATGTTTCTTCTGCTGAAAACCAAAGCAAAGTTGATTATAGTGATGCTGCAAATGTTGTCGAAGGAAATGACGAAACACACTGTCACCATAAGATGATCACTAGTTTGACATGTGATGACATTAGAGGTCTTGAATTTGGTAGTGAGGAGCATGCTTTTAAATTTTATGAAGCGTATGCTAAGAGCCATGGATTCGTCATTAGAAAAAGCTGCGTTCGTCGAGATCCTAAAGGTAACATTATGAGACGTTTGCTTGTATGCAACAGGGCAGGTTTGCGTAGTACAGTCCACTTGGCAAGGGTGAACAGAAAAAGAGAACATCGACCTCTCACACGCACTAATTGTCAAGCTCGGCTTAAGGTGCACTTAGATTACAATACATCAAAGTGGAAAGTGTCATCATTTCAAGAGACTCATAACCATGTGTTGACCCCAGTTGCAGATGTCCATTTGATTCCCAAATACCGTGCTTTAAGTGAGGCGGATAAAGCTCAAGTGGATAGTTTGCATTCATTTGGGGTTAGAACTTGTCACATAATGGGCTACTTGTTAGCTCAAAAGGGTGGGCATGCTGGTATTGGTTTTTCAAAAAGGGATCTATACAATCACTTTCATAAAAAACAACGTGACATAATTAAAGACGGGGATGCGCGTGTTACATTGAGTTATTTTGAAGGGAAGGCTGATAATGATCCTATGTTTTATTCAAAGTTCCAAACCACAGAGGATGGTAAGCTGAAACATTTATTTTGGGCAGATGGGCGCAGTAGGTCAGACTTTCAATGTTTTGGCGATGTACTTGCCTTTGACACCACTTACAAGAAGAATAAATACAACAAGCCGTTGGTTATTTTTTCTGGTTGTAATCATCATTCGCAAACAACTATTTTCGGTTGTGCTCTGTTGGGTGATGAGACCATTGAGACGTACAAATGGGTGTTAGAGGCTTTCTTGGACGCGATGCACAACAAACATCCCATATCAGTTGTCACTGACGGTGATGGCGCTATGAGAGACGCGATAAAACAGGTTTTCCCGAATGCATCACATCGACTTTGTGCGTGGCACTTACCAGCCAATTTCAATTGCAAAACATGAAAGTCTAACCTATGGAATTGAAATACCAGACGTAAGTACATCAACAAATCAAATTTTATTGTATATTTGTATGCATACACACTATATTAATAATGCTAACCAATTTATATCTTTAAATTTCAGTGGATGCCTATATCTTTTAGACCTACAAAAAGCATGAATCTTAACCAGATTGAGGCTGCTATCATTATCTACACTTTTCAAACAACCAATGTACAACCATCATTTAGGTTTGTATGATAAAAAAAATCAATATCTAACACTCAATTGCAGTGTTAAATCTGAATTCCTGACATCATGTATTTGGTTGCTTAGTGAAGAGAAGTTGATTAGCACATTCTTGGATGTTGGAGTGAGGAAGACACTTTTAAGTCTCCATAATCAAAGATTTGTTGATCAAGAGGTTAGAATTTACAATTCAACACTTTCCACGTATGTCTTTCAAATACTTATCTGTGACCTTCATTTTGCAGGTGCTTAACCTACTTGTTTGCAAACTGACCTTCAATCAAAAAAAGTTTTCAGCAATTGTGTCAGCTTGGTTCTTACCTACCTATTTTTCAGTAAAGCCACTACCGCTTGTTGTTATTTCCATAGATTTTTATGATTATGAGTTCAGTAGTTAACTAATAGTCTGTAATTATGAATTGTAGCAATATGTGTTGAAAAGGGGAGAACGGCCAGAACCAGTTCAAAAAATACGTCGAATCTATCAAGAGAGATTCATGGGGAAAGCATGTGATTTGCGAAAGGTTCGTACTTTGTATGACATGATTACATATCACTCCAGTTTAACAATTAGAGTATAACCATTTGTATTTTTCACTACAGATATTTATTCCTATTAATGATGACAATATTCATTGGTACCTCCTTGTGGTTGACATAAATTCTAAAACACTTAATGTGTTGGACTCGCTGCCATCTCCTTCTAGAAGGCTCAGTACAAGGCTGGATGTTAAAAAACTGGTCAGAATTGTGCAAAAATTATATAATTACAATTATAATCAATTTTGATTAACATTTGAGTTCTGTGGCAGGCAGTATATCTAGAAGAAATTTTGACAGACTCTTCATTTTATGACTCCTCCGACGATGAAAGGCTATTAATATCAGATTATGCCTTGACTGTACCAGAAGGAATTGGTCGGCAATTGAATGGATCGTAAGAAATGAATACATATTTTATTTTTTTGTTTACTGTAAGATCTTTCTTTCAAAATTACATGGCTGATCTTAATTCTGTAAACTTAGGAACGATTGTGGTGTTTGGGTAGCTCAATGGATGTCGGAATGCATTTGGACCAACAATTATAGCAATGTTTCTGTAAGTCACTTTATTGTTTTTTTTCTTTCAATCTTTGTAATGCTACGTATAATATTTGGCTAACTTGTGTTCGTTACTAACATCATTTCATATTCATAGGTCACACCTGAAACGAGAATGCGTTTGGCCCTTGATCTAGTTTTGGGTTCCTATAATGAATTGAGGGATGAAGTTGTTCAAAAAGCTTCCAAGAATTGGATGGAACTTGTGTCAAACAGGAAGAAGCTTGTTCAAGTTTAGCCTAGGATTTGGTGTTTTTCCAGAAATTAAGTAGTTTATTTCATTGCAGTAGATAGAAACCTAATATCTGGATTTGAACCTTCAATGTTTTTTATTCCGATTAAGCTTTTCTGGATTGATTTAACCTAAATTATATTATTATGTTGAAAGCACAATGAATGAGTGAAGTAGTGAACCGGTTTTTCCTATGAAGTCCAAATTAGAAAAGGAAAAGGAAAAAATTAGAAGAATGTATGGATCAGAATACATGACTTAAGCAGTTCCAAAAATACAAGTATTATATCCTTGAAACTAAGAATCAAATGATGTGATATTTCTCAACAAAAAACTTAAGCTGATTGATATATGGACTAAACATTTGTCATATAATGTGTAAATGTGAAATCTCAGTCCAAGGACTTCAATTTTTAGCAAACATTTTGGCCTACAGGTCTTGATATGGTATTATATTTGCAACTTAGTTTGAAAGTTTTATTTGAATCTGCTCACAAATTCACAAGGCCTACTATACCGATGATCCATAAGACCATAACTTTCTACGAGACAAACCTACATTCACATACATATGGAAGATGAGTAAACAACATGACGAAACAATGAAACTTGCTTTTCATATGGATATACACTCATGAAGTCATAACTTCATAAAGTCCGGCAATAATACCTGCATCTTTGGTAGCCTGCCTTTGAGCATCATTGAAGTATGCTGCAAGAAATCAATAAAGTTGATGTAAGCATGATCTCCATTATTAGGCCAAAATGTAGCAGGCATGTGTAAAACAGCCCACTAAACTACGTTTCCAAGAGTTGCCACTTACCGGGTGAGAATAAACAACTACCATTTCCAAGGAATGCTTCAACTGTCTCCTTTATCATTGTCAGAATCACTGCACTGATTTCCTCAGGGCTGAAGACTTTAGCTTCCCCATCCTTGATTTTTACTTGTATGTAAGGTGTACTGATAGATTCCACCACAAATCCAGAACAATTACAGATGATTAACAAGAAAATCAAACTGAACTTTATTAAGAAGATGAACAGTAACCAGGCCGAAGCCCCCAAAAGAGACGGATAATCTCTAACTTTCCCAGTCCCAGACCTAAAGTCCAAAAGCCTCCTTTACCTGCCCCCAACTTATTCTATTTATACTTTACTAATACATTTATTATTAATACTCTAATAGGCCTGGTGCCTTATTATTAATACTCTAATAGGAACTCTACTGTATTTATGCAACTCTAAAAGTTAAGTAATAGCCCCATAAATAAGTTAGTGATTAGCAATGTGTATTCCAAATATGAAAGCTATAATTCTCCATTGAATTTAGCAAAATAGCACCACAATCTGATAGTTCGTTTTCCCTTCGGCTATTTAACAACTAGCTATTAAGCGGCTGATCAGCCTGATCCCGCTTTGATGAAAAGAAAGATATTGTCAATAATGAAAACACAACCCTATTTACAAGAGATATTGTCAACTCCAACAACTAAAGAAATAATTACAAGAGAAACACTATGAAGATGCAACAGTTTGACTCAGTAATACTAAATAAAATATTTTATTTTATTACTCTGTTCCAAGATTAACAGCTGAAGCGTTGAGGTTTTCAACACGCATGACTTCAAATTTATCTTCCCTTATACAGGGACTCGGTAACATGCTTTTTCTTTCTCCATGTCAAGTCACATAAATCAACTCACATCTGGAAACAATCAACCTTAATAATCAAATGATGTGATCTTTCTCAGCAAAAAAACTGAACCCAAGGAAGAATTACATGTAGGCAAAAGAAAGAAAGATTGTGGCTTTGAGTGTGTTTTTTCAGTGGGAGCATTTCCTTTGATTGTTAATCTTATCTAAATTTGTTCAAAAAAGATAATCATTTCATACAATGACTATACCAGCAAAAGATCCACCTATTTTGACAAGCAAAGCATATATTCATCACCATAACCTATGAAGAATACTCTTGTCAGTTCATCATATTAGCACCCACAGATAGATGTGATCTTGAAATATGAAATTTAATGCAAAAGCCTAGTAAGCCATGACCAACAAAGTAAACAAGAAGCTCAATGTGCATGAATCAAGAGCAGAAATTTCGACATCCTAAAAAATTTCATGGCTATGGCATCAATGTTACAATCGTTACCAAACAATTAGTGGAAAAAGAACTTTTCTGTCTAAAAAATTAGATCAACGATTGGTTTAAGATGAAAATATTTCATATGGAGAAACAGATAAACACAAAAAAAAAGTAAACTTATCTGCTCGAAGTTTTATTCGTGAAAGAGGTGATATTGGATTGAGCGATCACTTCCCGGTTCCATCTAGCCCTGGTTATAACCTAGTTCCGACGTTGAATACACGGACAGTCCGAGATTTCGATTGAATTCCTGATCTTGGCATGCTTGGGGAAGACCAAAAGAAATGGCCATGGCCGATGGGGGACGACCGGACGATCACTCCAGACTTCCAGAAAGGGGAATAGAGAGTGAGGCCTACATTAATTTCTTTGTAACCTAGGGACCAATATGCAATTTTTAATTTATTTAATAATATGGCTCACGTGGATATTATAGCCAATGATTTGTAGACACATGGAGGATGCACCGGTACATCCCCCAACATTGGTGTACCGAAGAGCCACCCCCTTTTATTTTAATTGGGTGATCTGACATATGGTATCCATTTTTATTTACTTTTTACGTTTTTCTATTCTTTTTCGTATAACTGGTTAATCAATTATGAAGTACCAAATATGTAATTCCAACTTCCAACCTTAGAGCACCCGAGAGGTCATGGAGGATCAAAAACAAATTACAAAAAAAACCATCCCTACCCACTATTGTACCCATTTTTGTACTCACCATGTCTGTGAGGAGTTTTTTTCCTGTGAATCCCGGTCATAGACAAAAATATGTCTATACAGACATGGTGGGTACAAAAGTGGGTACAAGAAGCTCTCAACAAATTATCCCACTTGATCCAATGTGGGAGGTCATGAGGTGATGGGTCAAAATGTAAGGTTGAGGATGTGATCTGACAAACATTTTCAAAAATGATGTTTGTACCCACTCTTATACCCACTTTTGTACCCACATATGTTTGTGAAGTTTTTGCACAAACAAAATATTGTCTGTGAACCGGATTCACAGACAAAAAAAAAATACTTCACAAACATGGTGGGTATAAGGTGGGTATAAGAGTGGTACATCAAGCATTGTTGAACATTTTTTTGACTAACCAAGTATAGAAAGTTAAGTGGCTTTTTATCTAGAAAAAATAGTGGCATGCGAAACAGATGTCTTCTCTTCCCAATCAAGGTAACCACCAACCCCATGAACTATCCCCAACTCCCTAATTTCATTTATTATTCTTTAAATTTAATTTATTGTAAAAAAATATTATACCAAAAAATTAGATTGTTTTCCTTTAGAAGTAGACACCAATGAAGGATATGTTTAGTCACTTCAAAATTTACCACTTTTTTCTCTCTTGCATCTAATTTTATCTGTTTTAGAATATTTTTTCCTCTGAAAATGGATCCAACCCGTTCAGATACAATGCCAATTGCCAACAATAAATAATTATAATGGGTCAAATGTGGATTTTCCTTTTTCAAATTATATAAATTAATAATGGTGGAATATACCAAAAATATGCAAGAAGAATGTACAAATTTTAAATGACCTAGGTCACCATAGTGAGGAGAAAGTGTGATAGGTTAGAGGTGATTAAACTTAATTTTTGAGGGAAATGATGTGGAAGAGAGAGGAGGGATCACATGACATCAATATGGATGGAGATGCTCTAGTGGCATCTCCATCCATAAGATTATTGGAGGATTAAGTTGCTGATATGACAAATTATTTTTGAGATCATGATTGAGTGATGGAGATTATTTAGTGAGATTATTTGACAAAATAATCCGGGATTGAAATATGAATCCAGATTATTTCAAGATTATTGTAAAGCTAGTATTAATTAGTGAGCGCAGGATCCACAAAGAATTGATTATTTTGAGATTATTATGTTACACATTTATTGTTTGTAAAAGTGAACTTTTTCAACTGCTATTTTTTATTTATACCCTAACTTTACAAAAAAAAAACGTCAATGGGAAAGACTGAAAAATGTGTACAAAAATACAAGTTTAAGCTTCATTCGAAACGTTTTTGTCACTATTAGACATTTATTATTTATAAAAGTAGATTTTTTTATCGAAATTTTTTGTGATATTTATTATTATGCATGTTAATTTACACAAAAAAGGGATTTTACAATTTTTTTTAAATTATGTCCATTTTTGTGAAATTTATTATTATGCATGTTAATTTAGACAAAAAAGGATTTTACAATTTTTTAAAAAATTATGCCCCTCCGCCTTCAAACATACCAGCCCGGCCCTAGGTGGGTGGATTATGTTTGAAACAAACAACTACTCCGTATTATTTTGATGCTATTGGAACTTATGTGGTTAAATGTGCAATTGAATTTTATATGGGTTAATTATCAAAATAGGAGTAAGAGTCACTCACTTTGCACAAATAGGACCAAAAATCAAACTATGTTTCTATAGGACTAATTGTGTGTGTCTTGGACAAATATACCCTTATAACTATTGGAATGTTTTAATTTATAATAAAATAATAAAAAATAATAATAATTTGTAAAAATACCAAAAAAACAATAATTTTTTTGAATAATAATAATTAAAAAAAATGAAAAAATAAAAAAAATAAAAATGCAAAAAAAAAAAAATGCCGCCGCCTCTGCCGCCCCACACCACCACCTCCAGTCATTTGGCAAAAAATTGTCAAATTCATTATGAATGCCATATTTTTGGCAGAAGTAAGAATGATTCAAGTTGACACAATGATTCAACTTGGCATTCGCAAAGAGAAATATGCAATTGTTTTTAGCATTTTCAGGAAAAAAATGACAGTTTTATGTAAATATGACATTTTTTTAACGGTCGGAGGTGGTGGTGCAGGAAGGCAGCACCACCACCTCCTGTCACCGAGGGAAGAAAATGCCAAAAATATTACGAATGTCATATTTTTGGTAGAAATCAAAATGATTCAAGTTGGCAGAATGAAAATGTTGTCATTCTCAGTAATATGCCATTTTTTGGAATTTAAAAAAAAAAAGATAGCATTTTTACACCGATCGGAGGTGGTGATGGAGAGAGGTAGTATAGGCAGTGGGAAAGGCATCCTTTTTTTTAATTTGTTATGGAGTTTTACTATTTTTTAACTTTAAAAAAAATAAAAAAAATCAATTTTTTATTTTGTAAAATTTTTATTAATTTTTTATTATTTTTCTACAAATTTTTGAATTTTTTTCAAATTTATTATGAATTAAACATTTAATTATGACTTTTGACTATGTTTTACTTTTGTTTAAAAAATGGGTAGGAATGGAATGAAGAAATAGGTGTGTTTCCAATAGGACCAATATGGTCCTATTTTGGAATAAAAAACATAACAAGTCCTATTTTGGAATAAAAAACATAACAAATCCTATTTTGAGTTTTTGTCATAGTTTTAGTCCTATTTGAAGTAATTTCTAATTTTATATATACATTGTTTTCCCTATAAAGAATAGAAATAATAAACTAGTAAGATAAAAATTAATCATCTCTCCCCTATAACCCAATCAAGCCCCAAGTGCCCTCTAAACTAGTGTTGATTGCTGAATCTATAGCGAAAAAAATCTGCTCACAGTTCGAAGCTCATCTACATATTTGCCCATGTGAAATCCTAACCAGGGTGATACACATGCATTTTCTCAAGCATACTACTACTGCATGGAACAAGATAACAGCAAAAGATGAATGTGGCAAAAATTCAAAACATAATGATCTTATTTGAATTGTAAAAAAAATCAACAATCTGTGTGAATGTCTTACATAATGATAAAAAAAACCATCAGCAAGATGAGTCAGATAGCTGACAACATCTACCACTGAGCTTGTTTACACATCGACAAGTCACTGCCATTATATTTAACCATTTCCGGTGTTAAATGCTATATATGGCTTCAAGTTTGTGGAGCAGTAGGGATTTGGAGAGCTTGTTCCCCACTGAGTTGAACTGCATCTCACAGTTCTGGATTTGTTGAAAATTAATGTAGGCACGTAGAAAACCACCATGGACCTGAAGAAGAGAGCAGAAGACAGGTTTGTTTGGATTTAGGAGTGACCAAAACCAAGATGGAGTTCAACGAGCTTGGCGACCGAGTTTGCTAGGGAGTCCGCTCCTTCTTGGCTGCTTGCTTCGGCATATACTCTCACAACATCTTCTGTTCCAGATGGTCTGACAAAACATCTTCCCCGTGGATATTTTGCTGTACCATAGCAACAAGGCTCTTCATCGGAGGACTCTTAAGTAGCAATACACACATAAAATCCCTCTGGTCCTATTTATCTCCCTGTTCCCTTTTATCTTTCCATATTGAAATCTATGTACATTAAATAACATTTTCCCAATCTACCCTTAGTATGCTATTCAATGTACACTTTTCTCGAGAGGAACAATAATGGAATGATGGCTTTTTTTGAGGACATCTTTGGTAAAGACATAGAGTATTAAAAGTTTTGACTAATTTATCAATCCAACACATTTCCCAAACAATGTAATTTTGTCAACTGACAGATAAATAGGAATCTATGTTGCACGGAAACGCGAAAATCACGAGGAAACTGGAAACAGGAAACATCATCTTTTGCTCAAAAAAGGCTTATTTGGAGAGTTTCTAAAGAGTTTCCGAAACGGGAAACGTACTCTTTCTCGAGAGTTTCCGTGCTACATAGATAGGAATAGATGGAGTATATATAATACATATATACACAGACACGAGCATGTCTAGACACATCTGCAACATATGATAGTATATAATAACAATGCTAGAGGGGTTACCACCGATTACAACATAAATTACATTTCACCATGCATAATTACCACTTTGCTGTTTCATTAATGGATAATTAATTTTGTGGAAATTAAATAATGCTAAATATTTATTATCTACACATGTTGATGTTAATAAGCTTTAAACTTTTAGATAGAAACAGTAAATTAATTCAGTAGCAGTAAAAATATGTTTCAACAGTCGAAACCTATAGACACTGATTGAATATGTTTTAGAAGTTCTTCACTGAGCTTACCGATTTCAACATTTATTGCTTCCTGAATACCACTAGGTTTAGTAACAACCGTCTCTGCATTCGCCGTCACAATTGCAGTTCTGTCAACCACTTTTACCTGAATATAAGATGTCAAACATCCAGCAACATAAGTATTATTAAAGGACATAAAAACTCTGCATCTCTCTTTCTATGAGAAGCAATTATTTAAATTTTGTTTAGCCTGATTTGATTCATAAAATGTAAATTTCCTATTTCCCAGTTCAACTTCCAATTGATTTCAAAACTTCCGAATTATGATGTGCTTTTTATTAGCCCTATTCACATAGTGGCTTGCTCACCATATTTTTCAGCCAAAATTGATGTTGAACACTATGAGGAGTAAAAGAATAGGTCCCACTAGTAAAAGAAAGACCTTAAGTTGTCTGCTGGGTAGGTCCTCATAAAGTGCATTCCATTCATTGATAGACCATCCCATATGATGTAAGATGGCCTCCACCAAAAGCAAGTCACTTAAAGAATCTCCTACAGCTTGATTCATCAACTTACTAATTGCCAAAAGTACTGAAGCAGCTCTTTTCTCTTCTGAACCTGAAACCCAATGAAAGGCAGTTAATGGCAAAAACCAGCAGGGCAAATGTGAGCACTGAATAAATCAATAGTCAAAACTAACCTTCAGATGTTGACAAAAGTTCACTTCTGCCCTCCAACCAGCATAAGAATGCTTCAGAAAACAGAATGGTTCCATGCCCATTTGCCTCAAAATAAATGCCAACATCAAACTCTGCAGCTTTCTCATGCAAGTATTTCACCCCTGTTGGTGTAAGCACTACTTCTAGACCCATTGACTTTAGGTAATCAGATGATGCCCCATTTGCATATGCTGTCTGAACAACCCCAAGCCTCGGGGCACAAAACTTATTTTCTTTTCCATCTATATTCTTATTTATAATACATATTTGCTCCTTGATAAATATAGCGAACATGGATAGTATTTTGTCCCCATCAACAAGGTCAATTTTGAGATTGTCATTTTTTATTGAAAAATAGACGATCCTGTCAGCATCACCATCCAGACTTGCGCACCTGAAACACTAAAATCATCAAACTAAATTATCCGCTTCATAGCTTATCGAAAGGTATTGAGTGAATCCCACACAACACTTTACCAAGTAGCAGTATGTGTGGATAAGTTTTACTAGTCAACAATGCTACAAGAACGCTACCATCTATCTATCAATGAAAAGGCACAAATAAAAGCCAAACTATTATTATTTCTCAACAATTTCTTGTAAACAATTTGGAAGAAATAAATAGGAAATTACTCACCGCAGACCAACATTGGTATGACCAAAATTGCGTGGCGCGGTCTTCTCTTTTTGCACAAAATCAGCACCAACGCCATCATTAAGAACACCATCACCACGATTACGAACTTCAATGGTGATCCCAGTCAACAATTTCTTCAATTCTTCAAGCTTTTCTCCACCCACGCCATCTGAACCGTCCACTATAACTTTTTCATTCCAAGCATTGCTTCGTCCTCTTTGGGGTGTCAAACTCATCAAACACCTGTAATCACACAAAAGTGTGAGCAGATGAACACTGTTGAGTAGCAAAAATTTCAGCTATCGGGTGATGTTTTTTCCCCTTTCTCAGCATAAATCAACCTGAAAGAGGATGCAAGTTGATCAAAGTAACTACACTCAGATGCTTCCAAGCCTTTGTTTTTTGCACGGACCATCCAGTGAAGTTGTGGGGTTGTCACCACTCCAACATCAATGGCAACGGCTCCCACAATTGATGCAACTCCCTATATTTAAGTGGCATTAAAATACTTCATTAACATAAAAAACTATTATAGGAATCCCAACAAACCAATAAAATTTTAGTTGACTAACATGATGCAAGAAACTAGTGTACTTTCTAAAGCGCATACGCCGCATAGGATGTCGTTTTGACATGCATGTATTCTGTATAGGATAACTACGCCCTTGATGGGTAGAGGATATTAACATATGAGTGGAAAGAATTTGATACTTAAAAGTGTAATTAAGATGCAATGAAAAAGAGGGAATACAGTTTTCCTTAGAGGGAATATTTTATTCGAGAAATAAAATAAAAACAAGAAACAACAAGAATGCTTTGGGTTTGCAGGTTCAAACTTTTGTTGTGGTTAAAGGAGAAAGTGTCATTTCATTTTCATTTACCCCAGTGCCGCAAACGCTCCCACCTACGGTGGGGTAAGGGGGGGTCGGATGTACGCAGTCTTACCCCTGTACTAAAGCAGGGAGAGACTGTTTCCGGATGACCCTTAAAGGAGAAAGTGTGAAATAGAAAAAAGCTTCCAAATAGATTACATTGCATACATGCACTAGCAAATGGTGATAATAGGGAGAATCTTTACTTTCTTTGCAGCTGCAATGAGTTTCTCTCCACTAGGCCTGGTGTCTCTCCCCAATAAAACCACTGGTGATTTTTTTCTATCGAGTGTAATGTGTTCTTTCTTCACAAAATTAACTATTAACTGTTTCAAGAAACAAAAGGGATTTGTCAAGAAAATAAAAGTGTAATGTGCACATAATAGATTCAAGCATAAAGTTTAGAATAGTCAACAGTCAAGAATGCAGAACAGTTAATTGTGTCTTGGCAATTACATAGAGTAATAGAAATACAGAAGTATTATAATTTAAGTATTAAAATCAAGAAGAAGGGAGAATGAGAGAGAAAGAGAGAGCTTCCTTCCAAAATATAACAACTACCATAGTCCATAAGTATGAGTAATGAGCAAAGTTATAAAAGAATATTATTATTAACATCAGGCGAAAAAAAAGGGTGAGAGATTCCATCCAAAATAGAACATCTACCATAGTCTATAGGTAAGATTTAAGAGTATTGATATGTGATATAAAAGGTCAGTTCGGGTCTCTAGAGAGTTTGTTTCAGAGAGGCAAGGTGTAAGCCTTGAGATACTTTGAAGTGCAAGCCCCCTTGAGATACTTTGAAGTGCAAGCCCCAAACATGCTAATAAATCACATTTTAAATAGTTTGACGATACGAGTGTCTCTCTTATACTATTGTTAATGCTATTATTATTAATAGTATTCAATTTTAGTATTAACAATCATTTCCTATTATTGTTATTATTACTAGCAACTAAACGAGCACAGCACGAAAGCTAATATTCAATATTAGACATCATGTATGATGATACTTTTTTGTTTAAATAAAAAAATGGAGAGGAAAGACACGTGCAATAAGACCTCAAGTATAGTACCCATTATTGAACAAGTACTCATAACTCAATGACCGAATATAGAACTTGATTCGTATAGTGGAAACTATTTTACTATTTGCTAGAAAAACTTAAAGCATCTATTCTACTATATTGGCTACTAATGAAAAAAGAAATTAAACAAAGGAACAAACACATGTCTAGTTGATTACTCGTGCAGATAGAAAACTAAGGAATTGAATATTGTGTCATTATGTCATTAATAATTCTTAAAGATTTCATGCATGTGTTTCATCATGACGCTCCTTGCACTGCACTTTATGGTGTAAGCCTCCTATCATGCAAGAATGGGTAAACCTCAACACCCGCCATGAAAGCCTCACATTGAAGCACACCTCTTTACCACTTTTTCAAAAAGTGGTAATAAATAGCTCCTAATTTTTCCCTTTTTTATTTCACTTAACACTCAATTTGAGTCATATGATGCCTCTTAGATGTCTAAAAATGACCTAAGCACCTCCATTTCACATCAATCTTCTTTTGTTTCCACTTTTTTTTAAGTATTTCTCATTCTTAAGATTGCTACTCTCTAACCATCTAATTACACAGCCACACATTTGCAAATTATGATAGAACAGACCAACTGCATATTTTCTTTTGGTCAATGCTTAAGAACTGAGCATGATTCCAGCATAGATTAGATGAAACTTCTGAATAGAGAGAGATACTGATGAAACCTCTAGAACAGAACTAGGATTTGGGGAATTGGCAAGCTGGTCAGCAAAGGGCTCCCATTCTTGAGTCAGCATTCCGCCAGACGGGTCAGCAATTTTGACTCCATTATCTGAAACGATATTGTGAGACGCAGTGATCATAAGACCAATCACTGAACCAGTCTTGAGCGACCTCAGTGCAGCCAGAATCCCCACCCGGAAGACTGTTGATTCAAGCACTGACGCATCAGCTCTGAACCCTGATGTGCCATATGACAGCTTCACCCCTGTTTAGAACACTTTAAGAACGCTAATAAAAATGTTTTGCAGAAATCGGAAAATGAGGAAGTGGAAGAGATTTGACCTTCAGGAGGCGGAAACTGAGCAGCTGATTGAAGGAGGTGTGCCCTCTGCTGCTCGTCCATTATGGATCTGATTCTTCAAATTGGGAGAGAGCTTATTTAATTACTCCGTATTACGCCAACTAGTTATTCCACCCGTGCGTTGCACGGGAGTGCAGTATCTACACAATAATTTAGGTACAACATTTTAAAAAATGAAGCAATTGTTGTTATTTTGGTCAGAACAATTCGTCATTATGTGGACTGCGAGTCTGTGACACCACAACATGACTACTTAAATGGTACAATTCAGTTCTATAATTGAAGTTATTTGCTCTCGCTCTACTCAGTGGGGAAAACTCGTGTCAATACCATACAATGTCACTTTACCAATGATTGAAGAAGAGACAAAAATTCAACATAAAACCAATTTAAAAACCCTTATCCATAAATGCATCAAAGTTTACCCATGATTTAAAACTTCACATGATTAATCAATTTCAAACATAAAAAGCTTCCTAGTAGAACACATAAAGCGGAATATTTAAACTTGCCAATCATAAAAAGCTTCCTAGTACAATTATTTGAGAGAGCTCTTCCAAGGGCGATGATGGGAGTAAAATCCTACCCCCCTCTCAATCCCTCATTTTCTTCCAAACATAAAGACTTGCATTTAGCAAGTGAGTATTATTCATTATATATGTTCCCTCGTGGTGATGTCTAAAAGTTGTGCATCCTTCGTCGATGTAATTGATCGGGTGGTGAAATTCTATTGATCGTCCTTAGCAATGATAGACTGATAGTTAGACCAAGTTTTTCTAGAATGTTGACATCCAATTTAGTGGCTCCGTGGGCCTCGGTTTCAATTATTTGCTCATTTCTGAAACACCGTCATAATATGAGAGAAATGACAAATGAGAAGACCATGGTCGTCACGGCGGTAAGTCGAGTCGCGGCGCCAGCTGACCGCCATATCGCCTAGGCGACAAGGCGCCCGCCTAGGCGACAATTAGGCGACTAGTCGCCTATATGTATATATTATAATATATATATATATTATATATAATTATATATTTACAACCAACTGATAAAAAACTAATCAAAACATAAAGTAATTTTGTATACATAATTATATATTAAATAACTTTTAGTAATAGTTTAATAGTTTATGATTTTATAACATATAATAATTCATGGTTAAAATGTTAAATAGTTTTATATTAAACTAATATCAAGCTACCAGGCTATATAATAAATTAATAGTTTTAATAACTAAATAGTTTACTGGAACATATATTTGTAATTTTGTATACTTTACAAAAAAAATCTTTTATACGAAACAGAAAAATATGTATACATTTAAAATATCACGGATTCACAGTGTTATTTTAATCACACAACAGTGTTTTTAATATCATAGGATAAAAATATTAAACCATACAATAAATATATTTAAGAAAATAATTAAGATAAAAATTATATCACAGAATCACATGATTTAATATCACAAAATAATTTAATCACACAACAATTAAGGTTATTTTAATATCATAGAACAGTGTTTTATATCGCAGATTCACACAATAAAAGTATTTAAGAAAATAAAATATCATAGCATAAAAAACTAATCAAACAGAATTACAGAATGTGCTGAACTCTTATTTTAAATACATAAAAATATCACTAAATTATCACAGTTTAAAACATAAAAAACAAAGTCAAAAGTCAAAACAACAAAATTATAAATACACAACTTAAAATTTAAAATAATAAAAAACTTAAATAAGAACCAAGAAGGGATCGGGAACCTGGGAATAGCAAAGTCGTCTACTCTGCTTCCACGAAACACTGAGGGAGGGCAACTTCGTCTTCTTCGTAAGCTTCCTGCGAATCTGCGATGCTAGTTCACTACTTGGCTAGGCGTCCGCAAGAGTCAGTAAGGTAGAAGAGCATGGGCTTTGGTTTTAATTAAAAATCTGAAGCCTTAATTAAATTAGATTCCTAAAAACGAATTAAATTAGCTTCCTAAAAATAATTAAGGCCTAAATCTATTTTTCTGGGTTGACCGGTTGAGGGAGTTCTGGCCCAGTTAGTCTCCAAGTTCGCGACTTCCAATTTAGGCGAAGAATCCGTCGCCAACCCAGCGACTTGACAACGACTTGGCGACGCCTAGTACGCCTGGGTTACTTCTGGCGAGGCGAGTTCACCTGGCGTCCTTCCCCTAGCGACTGGATGACTAGTCACCGCCTAGGCGACGCCGTGACAAAGAACTGGACCTCATTTTCGATGGTTGATCAAATCGGACGATATCAACAATTTCTTACCAACCAATAGTCAATTTGAGGATTTTTAGTGGCTCATTTCTTCGGGCCAAAAAACTACGTCGTATAATATTTTTTCACGCATGGAAGTCCAAAAGAGATTGCACGATATAAGAGGCTGCAGGTGCCTATTCGTAATCTGATATATGGTCATGATAGCAGTGATGTACAAGTTTACTTTCTATTTGATTCTACAGAAAAAATGTTTTAAATTTTCAGTTACCCATTATAAAATGTTTTTTCTATGGGAAATTGTTCGAATGAAAAGATTATTTTTCCGGCCCGACATACTCGCCCGCCTACCAGTGAAAGTTAAGCACTTTTTGAAATTGCAACCAGTTACAAATCAAATCAATTGGCCAAGAGAAACAATCAAAATTATGAACTTAATAACTTATAGTTGCAAAGCTACTCAACTTAAAATAATTAAAAAATCCAAAAACTTGAACAGGGTGATTAGAAAACCATGGATTATAAATATAAACCAGCATGTTGTTAGCAATACTATCTGCACTTCTGGCTTTCCAAGCATTATAAACTATGCAACACGATGCAATTCTCACACCTTTCCAATATAAAAAGACATTATAAGATCAAGACATTGTCACTTTCTGAAATTGGTATAAGTTCAATGACTTCCTATCTTGAACTTGAACAATGACTTTTGAATTAAAATTTTTTTATTCACTTTTTAACTTGAACAAAGACTTTTCCAATTAGCTTAAATGGTTAAGAGAACCTAATAAACATCAATAAAAAAGTTAATCCTTTTTTAAAAATTGCAGTCGGTTAAAAATCAAATGAATTGGTCAAGAGAAACCATGTGAATATGAACTTCATTCATACCTTATAGATACAAAGCTACTCAAATTTCTGAAATTGATGTCAATTAATTACCTCCTAACTTGAACTTGAACAAAGAGTTTACAATTAAAAAAACATTATCAGTTTCTAAGCTGAACATGAACAAAAAAACATTATAAGTTTTTAAACTGATCGAACTTGAACAAAGACTTTTCCAATTAGAAAAATATTACTACGTATAAGTTTCTAAACGAACTTGAACAGAGACTTTTCGGATTAATAAAATATTATCAAATTCTAAATGAACTTGAACAAAGACTTTTTCAATTAAAAACTATTATCGCTTTCTAAACGGAACATGAACAAAGACTTTTCCAATCAGCTTTGATAATGGTTAAGAACCTAATAAACTTCAATATAGAAGTTAAGCACTTCATGAAATTGCAGCCAGCTAAAAACCAAATCAATTAGCCAGGAGAAACAATGAAAATATCAACCTCGTGTACGTACTGGCTTCAGACCTCTTACTAACCAGGACATTAGATGGGATAGACTCCAAGGTTTTTGCCCCCTGTGGAGGTGGTCCAAGTCAAATAGATATGTCACGTGTGCAACCACTTTAGTTAATGGAAATAGCCTGATGCCATTTCAAATAAAATCACAAAACAATGAAACTCGTATTGAGGGCGTCTTAGTTCCCTCCCAGAAGTTAATGAGGAATTACTTCACTATTGTGCTTCAATTACACACGGACACTGGACACATTCAAAAGGGTTGAGCACTTGAACCCACCGACCAATTTCGTAAACGGCAGAACTGAACATTACTGGGTATAGACAAAAGCTAATACATTTTGAAACAAAACAGACTTTGTGAAGAAATTAGGTTGATTTCTGAGCAATCAGTCTTGATATGAATGAACAAATTGAGGAATTTGAAATTAAAGAATCTATCACTCATGGAAAGGAAATTGACTAAAATTAAATAATAACCTGCGGAAGGAAATAAGCCCCAATTTCTTCTCTGTCGTACGGGGACTGATCATAACCTTGCATCTAACGATGGCGCCGGGGGATCTTGTGGCGGTGATGCTTCATTGGTGAGAGAGCCGTGGCTACCACCATTCCCTAAAGTAAAGAATACAGTTGCAGATGCGATGCAGCGACCGAAGAAGAATGCAATCGTAAGGACTTACAGCGGCAGATTACAGAATTTGAATGGAATGGAATGGAATGGAATGAAATTTAGAGAGGAAATAGAATACGGAGTAATAGAAGGAATGGATAGGTGATGACATAAGGAAATAAATAAATGAAGTGAACGTGAACGGTAGAGATCCTTTTAATTTTAAATGAATGGTGAAAATTGATTTGTATCGCTGTTAAGTACTACCTCCGTCCCCCCAGTAAGATTGGGACAAGAGGGAGTGGCACAATTATTAAAAAAAGTGGTTTTGTTTGGTTGATATTAAATTCATAAAGTAAGAATAAAGTAAGAATGATTTAGAACCACACAAACTTTATCAAATTTGGTATGGGACAATCTTAGTGGGACTTCCCGAAAAGGTAAAATGGGACAATCTTAGCGGGACGGAGAGAATATAAGGATAAGGCCGAGCACCTCGTGGAAAAACTAAAAAGAATTTGACTTTGCTCCTACTTTCAAAAAATATTTGACTTTATACCCACTTTTTGGCAATTTTTGAGTTGATGGATGGATGGTGTGTTTGACATTTAACGGTCAATAAATAGCACTTATAATGTTATACTCCGTACTACTTATTAGCTAGTTGTCAATAGTGAATTCAGTTAGCGGGTTTGACTAATGGGATTAGACGATAAGTTAGTGGGTTGTATGAAGATGTTGATTATTTAGCTATTTGGCCATACAAAATAGTTAAAATGTTATTTTTCAAAATACTAACTCAACATTCTTCTATTTGAAGTCTTTCCATTTCAGCAGTTCCGTCCAAAAACGCTAAGGTCAAACAACTATTTATCAAACACTGTTTTTATTTATTGGAAACGTTAAAAGTGGTCAAATCGTCTTTTTTTGCTGAAAAGACATTTTCTAAACACCCCCATAGTACATATTAATGATTAGAAAATGAGATATAAAGTCTAATGTCATCCAAAAAAAATAGCGTGCAAAGTCAAATTCTCACAAAATTTGACTTCCTTTTCTTGTCTATTTTGTTATTTTTATTTTTACTTTTCCCTATTTGGTTTTCTTTTTAGTTATGTTTAAGAAATCGGACCGGGGTAGCCGGGTTGACCCCTAAACCGTCGACCCAGGTAAATTACAAGTCTTTTGCATGTCAAAAACCGGAAAAAATTAACACCCCAACAGACAGTGGCGGAGCTGGTATTGTTCCAAGGTGTTGACGTAAACACCCAAAATTTTAAAAAACATGCAAGTATATATGTGTAATTTAATATAAATATATTTATTTTTCATTAAAATTTTAATTGTAAGAACATTGAACACTTAAAAACTAAATCCTAAATCCGCCACTGCCAACAGCATCGGTCAAGATTCTGCAGAACCGAATAACTTGGACCTCAAAGATTTCATTTATTAATCTACAATTGTGGATACAGAGATGAAGGGAGTGTTTGAAAAAATGACGTTTCACCCCAAAACCGGTGGTTTCACCATTTTAGCGTTCCGAATAAGTAAAATGTTATTTGATAAATAGTTGTTCAATCCTATCGTTTTCGGATGGAAATGCTGAAATGAAAACGCTGCAAATAAGAGAGTTTTGGATTATCACTTTGAAATATGGTGTTTTCTATTCATTGTTGTAGCCAAACAACTAGATTGTCAAACATCTATTGATAACCCGCCAACTTATTCCGCTAGCAAAACTGGTTGATTGAATCTGTTATTAACAACTCGTTAACATAATCCTCTATTCGCTAACGGCTAACACTAACCGCTAAATGTCAAACATGCTCGAAGAAGATGACAAAAGAGAGGCATTCCTTCCGTTTTCGACATATGCTTTCAATTTCCAAAGTGACAAGAAATTTGTAGATTAAGGAGGACGAATGTCAAGGGTTTCCAATTGATACTCTAGTTTCAATTTCCATTTTAAGATGTGTGCACACAAAGTAAATTAAGAAGAAGAATTGGGAAGAGACAGTAGCTTTGGAGTTTGGAATACAAGATGAAGCAGAACTGCAGAAAAGAAGTTGTAGTCTTATACCAATTGAGCTACCCACATTCTCTATTTATCAGTTGAGCTACGTTCATCAGCTCTAAATACCTTTTAAATAGATATTACACATAACTACACTAAATGAAGGAAATTATAGCATGGCTTAATATTAAAATGTCAATTGTTTTTTTTTTCGTCGTATTAAAATGTCAACTGTTAATAAGGTCAGTTGCTTTATTTTGATAAGTGGGCACAAAATATGAAGACATTATCTCCGTTGCGATTATACACATTGCTAGGAGGGACTTAAAATTGGAACAAAAGACCCGGGATTGAGTGTCGTCAGCTTCACATAATCTTTTTATCCGATTTAGCTAATTCCAGTGTTATTAAACGGACCTTGAATCTAATTTTTTATGAAGTGAGTCATTCTTTATTCTCTTATTTTGTACAATTTTTATCCATTTATCATCATTTTTCTAACATTTTGGTTTTTCTTTTGAGATGACTATATTTGCTATATACGAGTACTTGTTATAAAACTTTATATTGTAGCTATATTTGCATATTTATCACTATCATATTATTTTGACATTTAAATGACAATTGTACGTTAATTATATGAAATAATTACATAAATATGATCAAAATAAAGATGGTTTACAAAAATATGATCCATTACTAGAATAGTAATGAAATCATAGTAATTCATGTTCAGTTTTGAACTTTAGTTACCACAGTACTACGATATAGTAATGAATAGTCATATTGATGTAAATAAGTTTTATTTTAGTAATATTCTTGTAAAAAAAAACCCTAATTATATTGATGGTATGCGTTATTAGAGTATACTATCATCACGATTTATATTAGTAACATCTAGGCACATTCACCTCCAACGTAGAGATACTCTTAATTGTTTGTTTTTAGTTAGAAAACTAATATAAAAAACTACGATCCTGCATAAAAAGCATAATGTAACTAATACGCAACATAACATTTTATTCATAAATAAGCAAACATCGCAAAGTTCATTCCTGAGTCTAATCTTATGTGATGAAATGGTTAGCAACACAAGAGGGGGTGAATTGTGTGTGTGGAACCGTGACAGTTTTTCTCCCAGTTCTAGTGTGGGGTATAGGAAATTGCGAAATAGTAAAGTGCACAAGGATTTAACGAGGAAAATCCCTTGGCTCAAAGGGATTAAAAAACTTCGACCTCCCTCGGAGGAATTTTAACAACTTCACTAAAAAACCTTTAATTTGAATGATTACAAGGGAAACTCTCCTAGTCTACCCTTGAGCCACCCCAACTCTATCCTCTCTAGGAAGAGTTACGCTTCTCTACCTTGCGGGTAGAGAGCCTCTCAGCTTTACAACAAAGCTCTCACTCACACAAATCAACCCGAGGAGGCTGCTCTTAGCCAATCCTCAAAACCCCATTACAATATAAAGAAGGGAAAGAAGAAACTAAATCTAGAACTCCGAGTGAGCAGTTTCAGGTGCCTTGAGCTTCAGTAATTCTTTTATGAATATATCTCTCAATGTCTATCTTGGTCAAGCACACCCTCTTCTCTTGATCTTCCGTCAGAACATCTCCAATGATAAAATATGCACAGTGCACACGTGGCATGAGAAATGGCCACATAAATATTAGTAAATAAATTCTTTCTCTCCTTATTTGAATGATTTTATACATTTTTGGTAAGTTTTTGTCCACAATGTCAAGGAGACCGTCTAGATGTTGACATTGTTGTTGACATTGCAGGAAAAAAACTTACTAAAATTGTATAAAATCATTCAAATAAGGAGATAGATAATTTATATGATAATATTTATGTGGCTATCACTCATGCCACATGTGCACCGTGCACATTATAGCATTGAAGATGCTCTCATATATATATCTTCATGCAAGACGTCCGTTGGCTCCTCTTTCCTTGATTGAATTCTTGGACTTGCCTTGATATTTTGAATTGCTTTCCTTACATAATATCTCCCATATCCGAGCATAATATAGAAGGAAACCAAATTAAGACATCCAAAATATCATAATTGTATATTTGTTAGTAGCATATCAATCACACACCAAGTACAACTCATTTAAATCTCGTAAAATTAATTAAGGAGGGGAAAATTCATGTTGCTTATATTCACTAAGAAGGTAAGCTTCGGTGAATTAAAAAGGTAGGGAATTTTTCATTAATAAATGTAAGCATGCAACGGCCATAATATGAATTCCCCATTTAAATCAATTTCCTTTGATAACTGGAAGTACTCAAAAAACGAAAACTTTCCATTTTATATTTCACCTAATGATGATCCCTTTTTAAATCAAGTAGGGAGTACGGATCATGCTATGTGCACCTTCATGACAAGGAATAATTAACATAGTGGAGCGAGAAAATAAATTATTATCTTATCATAATAAGAGTGCAACGGCCCATTCTTACTTACACCACTCAAAATAATTTATTCAAGAATGAGTACTTATGGTAAGCAAAGCATCCATTGATAGCCGTAATATTAACACATTTAATAGTTTAGGCAAGACAACTTTTTCTAGCAATCATTAATAGTATGGCCCACCATTATAAGGTAATAAGATTATTTCCATAAAATATATGTGACAATAATTTCAATAAGGCCTCTAATCACATTTTCAACTTTAGGCACGTAAAACAACATACACTATATCCACGCAAGCAAGTATTTAATTAGCTAAAATAGCTTAGAACGGTTCTATCCAAGAAACATTATATCCACCTACATGGTTAGTCAACAACACAATAATAATGTCCATTTGGTCCTGAGGATAGTTCTGTCCTTTGTTCCTTAAAGAACTAGGAGCGGTTTTGTCCGCCGTTCCACCTGCATGGTTAGTTATCAACAAAACATATATGTTCGTTGTAGGATAGTTCCGGGTTCAGGTCTACGGCTTATCTTCCTTTCCTGCAATCACTTATAGACCAAAAATAACACTAGTTGTTTGTCATCAACAAAACAATATGTTCCAACACTATGTATGACAACCATACCAATTACCAAGCACAGGCGAAGAACATTAATTTTCACAAACAACAATGGTGATGTATTTACAAAGCAAAGTGCAGAGTTAGCAAACGTTAGAAGCAGCTAAACAGCTG